AACACCTTAATGGGAAGTACAATCGCAGGTAGAACAAAACCTCGGGTTCTGGTTGTTTCGTATTTCAACGCAAACGGCATAAAGGGTCAAAGGAACGAAATCGCGGAATTCCTTCGCGATTATAACGTAGATATTTTTCTAGTGCAAGAGACATTCTTGAAGCCTAGTGTACGCGATCCCAGAATCGCAAATTACAACATTGTCCGCCACGACCGGTTAGCAAACCGTCTGGGAGGCACATTAATTTATTATAAACGGTCCTTGCACTGTTGCCCGCTCGACATTCCAGAGCTAAGTCAAATAGAGGCATCCGCGTGTAGGTTAGCACTCACCGGCCACAGGCCGCTTGTACTAGTCTCAGCCTACCTCTCGGGGAATAGAACCTTACTTCAAAGCGACCTAGATACGCTACTTAACTTAGGCCCTTCCGTGATAATTACAGGAGATCTAAACTGCAAACACGGCTCATGGGACACCAACAGCATCCCAAATAACAACGGAAAGCATCTCTTTAGCTTATCCGATAACCTAATAAACCTAAACTTTAGCATAGTCGCTCCCGCGACTCCCACTAGGTATCCTACGGTGGACAACTACCAACACGCATCACCGAGTGTCCTAGACATCATGTTATTCAGGGAGGTCTCGCTCGACATCGAGTCGATAGAGACAATCCATGAACTAGACTCAGATCACAGGCCCGTCCTGTGTAAACTGGGCCAGAACGCCGGCGCGGTCCCTCCGACCAAATCCGTAGTGGACTGACATCGTCTTGAGGTCAAACTCAAGGCCTTGGACCCCCAGGACTTAGTAGACCTACCTGAGACGATAGCTACGTTCGATGACGCAAATCGAGCGATAGCGAGTCTCCGAGAAACTATTACTTCCGCAGTCACAGACTCGGAACGGACGGTGAAACTGTCGGGCGACCGACGGTTTAACTTTCCGCCCGACCTAAGACTGCTAATTAGACAGAAAAATGCAGCCAAACGCGCCTTCGACCGATACCGATCGAATCGAACCGAACGCTACTTCGACGCCCTTCAGCTAGAAGTCAAAGATCGTGTATCGAAACACCGACATACAACGTGGGACAATCTCCTAGAGGACATCGAGCCATCGCACACCGCTTACTGGCGGTTGGCCCGCAGTCTGAAAGCAGACCCCCGCGAATCTCTACCGCCGTTAGTTAGACCTAATGGCGCTTCAATAGCCCTAGATGACTCCGAAAAAGCCGAATGCCTTGCGGACAACCTAGAGCAGCAATGTACAATGCATCGCGCGAACACACCGATACAGTCCACCTAACGGAGGTGGACCGCGTAATCGAGACTAGGGCTGCGCTTCCACCGGAAGGCGAACCTTTAAATTCAGTGACCCCCGAAGAGGTCCAAGATATTATTAAAAATCTAAAACCGAAATCCGCCCCGGGCCCAGATAATATCAGTAACAAAATTCTTAAAGCTCTCCCTGGGCCGCTTACCTGTTTACTGGCGACCATTTACAACTCTTTACTCTCCAGTTGCTCCTTTCCCGACGACTGGAAAGAAGCCACGGTTATCGGCATTCGCAAGCCGAATAAACCAGCCAACCAGCCCTCTAGTTATCGTCCCATCAGCCTCCTCAGTTGCCTGGGGAAGCTCTACGAGCGGCTTTTATTAAAAAGGCTCAATGAGCACGTGTTTTTCCAACGGCCTTCTGCCGGCGGAACAATTCGGCTTTCGAGCTAGACATTCCTGTCCCGATCAACTATTCCGCCTAACGGAACATATCCTAAAAGGCCTAAATCACCCTAAACATATTAGTACAGGGGCTCTTTTCTTCGATGTCGCAAAAGCATTCGACAAGGTCTGGCACAACGGCTTGCTTTACAAGTTGTACACACTCAAAGTGCCAGATAGGCTCGTACACACCATCTGGGCCTTCCTGTCAAACCGCTCTTTTCGATATCGAGTTGAAGGCACCCTCTCCACAAGCCACCGCCTCACGGCCGGCGTACCACAAGGCTCCTGCCTCTCACCTTTGCTCTTTACGCTCTACACGAGCGATATACCTAAAGACCCCCACGTCAATCTCGCGCTTTTCGCGGATGACACGGCGCTCTTTTATTCAGACCGCAACCTTAGACAACTAACCACTCGACTCCAAAGCGCCGCCGACCGCCTCGGCGACTGGTTCCGCAAATGGAGAATAGAAATAAATACCGAAAAGAGTGTAGCGATTCACTTCACACGAAGTACTTACCCGTCACATCTTTATAATGGTCCTCGCCAATGCAGAAAGTTGGGGCAAATATCCCTTTATGGCCAACCGCTCCCCTGGGAGAAAAAGGTCAAATACTTAGGAGTCACTTTCGACTCGCGTATGTCATTTACTACGCACATTAATAACGTTCGTAATAGAGCCGCGTCTCCGGCCGGCTACACAATTTAACTAACGCTAAAAGTAAAATGCCCTTAAGGCACAAATTATTATTATATAAGACCTGCGTACGACCTATTATGTCCTACGCATGCATGATCTTCGCCCACACGCACCCTACTCGCTTGTACAAGCTGCAAATAGTACAAAATAAGTTCATCCGCCGCCGTGCAACCGGTGCGCAGTGGTATCAACGCAACGTCGATCTGCACACCGATTGCGGACTCCCGACGATTCGCGAATATTTTAAAGACCTGACCAAACGATTCTTCGATAGAGCCGAACATCATCCCAACCCTCTGGTGGTAAGCGCAGCAAATTACCAACTCGACATAAACGCGAACGTCAACAAGCGTCGCCCGCGAAACGTCCTCATCGACCCGGTCGAGGAAGGGGACTTAGAAACGCCGGACCCACCGCCGGGGGTCCCGCCGGACAACACTACACCCACAGTTAGTGCAATAACAAACACACTAGTTCGCCCTCGCCTCCGAGCCCGGCGAGACCAACACAACGCGTACACAAGGTACACCCGCGTTCCAGGGCGGTCCTCACCGCCCCCAGCCACCGATTAGCTAAAAACACAGTCGACGGCCATCGGGGTTTCGGTCCGCACCGCAACTTCGATGGCCCTTACATGACATGTCGAAGTTAAACGCACGCATGAGCACATGCGCGGCCCTACCCACAGCGGAGGGCCCAAACCCGTGTGTTCTGGCTAGCCCACCGGTTCTGCGTCAGATGAAGCTTTAATAGTCTCGGGACTGAAAGCAAAAACATCAGTTAATACAAGAATACAAGAAGCTTAGCGGCTTTGACAGCTTTGACGGAAAAGGCCCTCAGATTGAAGTTTGAACCTTGGCTGGGATCGATACTGGAATCTATTCAGAGAAATCAGGTCGAAATTACGATTTAATCTTGAAACATAACTACGTCGGACGATCGCTTCCAAATCAATTACCAAAACAAGTACAATACGACAGTTACTACGAAACACAGAAATAAAGAAAATAAACAATTGACGAAAACGATTACTTTTCGATAATTAAAATACGAACGAACGATCTGGCTATTCAAATAATAACACGACGTAAGGGATTCAAAAGTAGCTCTATTTTTATGTAACTGTAGTTAGCTCTTAGTCTGGCGGCTTTGACAGATCCATCAGAAGAAATCTGCAGCTAAACGACTGGCTCGGGCAAAATATCGTAGCTACTGCACGATGACAACACAATCACGCCGTCCGTTCCACTGAATTTCTGCTACCTCTCTCATTTAAAGATGGACAATGCGACTAAGTCAAGGTCACGACCAAACACAAGGTTCAAACCTCGGGTTGGGTCTTGGTCGCAATCGATAAGGGTACCCAGAGGAAGGAATAAGCGCTATGGCTTAGGCTGCTAGGCGCATTGAAATATCGATGTATTTTTTATTCTTTTATGGTTAATTTCAGATAAACGGTTCTAATGGTGCGGAATAGATTCAGATAGGTTTAGCCAACGGACTTGCATTGATTCTCGATTATCAGAAAACAAAATGAGTTCTTCCTCTTATTCAAAGTTAAGTCAAATACAGAAGTATACGTTACGAGGAATGGATTACAAACCCAATCCATCGCTGTATAATCTATCAAAAAGCCCGTTTATATTCAGCATCTTTGCGTTCATCACAAAGATCTTACACTTACACTTACTTAGTAAATGATCTTACACTTACGTAGTAAGTGTAAGGTCTTTGGTTCATCATCTCATTCTCAATATATAATTGTATAATCTATAGTCATCATGTTGACAAACTTATGGGGTGCGTTCCACTAAGCGCCCACAACGATCACGCTCACGACCGCAGTTAATCCCGTTCCACTTGCTTGTGAGCGTTACTGCCGTAAACTCAAGTGGAATGGATTATAGAGCGTTTTGAGCGTCGAGGTAAATAATACAAACGGCGAAATAGAAAAAAGGAAGCAAAAGATTTAAGAGGTTAGGTTATAATCTGTAAGCCTTGAAAATAAACTTAAATAATTATTGTTTAAACCGATTTATATTGAAAAAAATTATAATTTAATTTTTTATATTTAATATTAGTGGTGTATTTAATTAATTTACGTTCAAATGTAATTAAAATGTCTTTTGCGGTGCAACTTTGAACTTAGACATTTTGAATTTTGAAAATGCCGCTAATTTTCTCAACAATCACTTCGACCCACCTTTTTAGGCCGTGAGCTTCGCGTGAGCGTTAATCATGAAGTCATAAGTGACGCGACCACAACGACCGCGGTCGTTATGTGGAACGACTAAAGGAGCATTTTGATCGTTGCGGGCCCTTAGTGGAACGCACCCATGGAGGGTAGAAGATATCTTCTAACTTACGTAGTCTACCCTCCATACAAACTGACGTTGAAGACAGATTACACTGACAACTGACAAGAATCTTAAATCAATCAACAGCAACACCAACAGTGGAAGCTTGACATAACGATTATCATTGAATGTTTTGGCGGCAGAGAATCTTTTTAAACTCTTAATCTTTAATTGAATAGAATTTAATATAACATTAAAAATTATAATTCATTAAAAATCATGAGTTTCTCATTTGGCCAACCAGCAACTACTACCACAGCGCCTGCTTTTGGTACAAATACTTTATCAGGAGGTAAGGACGTAATTTAAAAACCATGTGAATTATTAATAATACAAGATTTATATGTTATATCAGATAAAATTTAGTATTGCTTTATACTTCCAAACTCAACACTAAAATTAACAAAACTGGCTAATGTTTCCCGAAGAAAAGTTTTAACCTTACTCTTTTTGAACAAAAGTTATCAATTTTATCATCGTAAAATTTAATTATAAGTAATGTTTGGGAATTGATATGTCATTCTTTTGAAATTATTTAACTTATAAATATGAAAGTTGTTGTCAAAATCGTAAAATCGTAAATTTGTTATTTATTTTTGCAGTGTTGTTACGGTATGTTGAACTTTTTTACAGGAAATTTATTTGGCGGTGGTGATTCCAAAACATTTCAAAGTCCGTCAAATACAGGTAAGAACCATATTTGACTATGGTATGGCCACACAACAGTCTTTGCTTTTGCACAAATGGTCAAGTGCATCTAGGGGGAGTATCACTACCTCACAGAAGACCGGCATGAAGTGAAAATGTTATACTTCTGTTCTGGTGGCTATTACTTAGCATAAGATGAATTGCCAGCTCGCTTGCCATATACATAAAAAAAGATATTTATTACTTTATAACTAGTCCTAAATTTTACTTCTAGTCTGTTTGAATTGGTATTTATAGAATTAACGTAGTACAGTTTGCCACATGTATATACCAGATATAATGTTAATTCAACAGTGTAACTAAAATCATTGTAGCATATTCAGTATATCACTTATTTAATGTAAACATTTATCAGTATGGTTTATTACAATAAAAGATAGTTATATCAACTCTAATAGGCTGTTTTGTAATGTTTTGTAACAAAAACTATTACTCATAGCATATTTAATACATGAGATCCTACTCTTCTTTCAAAGCTTCAACAGGGCCCCTATGTATCTAAACTTGCTAGCAGACTAAGTCCTGCAGCATATGCTGTAAGGAAAATAATATGTCTGACTGATGTAAATACAGCTAGAATTGTTCATTTTAGTTATTTCCATAGCATAATGTCATACTGTATTTTGCTATGGTGGAATGCAGCAGATGTGAAAACAATGTTTAGAAAAGAGTCATAAGAGCGATTTATAATCAAAACTTGAAAGAGAGAGCGTTTTGAGGGAAAAATTTAAAGAAATAAATATTTTAACCTTGGCCTCTCAATATATATATCTAAATGTAATGTATGTACATAGAAACATTAATAATTTTAATAAGAATACTGATGTTCATAATATAAATGCTAGGAACAAGCAAGACAAGAAGCCTATCTATTAATAGGTTTATGAAAATTAATAGAGAAAAACTTTTTAAAAAGGTTTATTAGGGATGATGGAAAGTCCCTTTTTAATGAGGGACCCTTTTTAAAAAGGGTTATTAGAGAGATATATATAGAAATGGTAGTAGATTAAAAAAATGACTATAGATAGATGAAATGTATATTTCTTACTTCGATGAATAAATGATTTGATTTGAATGATGGAGGATGCACTTACATTATTCTTTCTTTTACAGATAACAAAATTGGTTTCTTTAGTAGCCCAACAACAAGCGCACCAGCATTTTCAAATTTTGCCTTTGGAGCTAAAACAACTGCGGCAACACCGGGTTTTTGTGTGTATTTTTTTCTATTTTATTTAATTCTATCTGTTTGCGAAACAAATTCTGTTGTATGAATGGAAAGTCCTGAATGCCAGTCAAAGTCCAGATATGTCTCATACCCTATTTTGACACAAACTAAAAATAAAACCCGATGCAAGAAATATTTTTACATTGAGTTTTGTTTAAATAAAACCAAAAAATTATTTTTGCTTCGGGTTTTATTTAGCTCGTATGTAGTCACATATTAATTTAATTGGAATTAATTTTTTTGCTACTATAAACAATTACTAAAACTGGCTGTGCTTGACTCAATGGCAAGTAGACGTATACACGTCTAGCCAAATAACAGAATACCAACTCTTGCCTGGTAGTTTGGTGGTGTTCTAACCAAATCTGCAATTTTGGATAGCTGTCAAATGAATTAATAATTTTCTCATTCTGCAGATTATTTATTTGTAAAAACTATTTGACACTTGTGTCTGCTGTACGTATGTGTAATCAGTCATACATCTAGTCAGTAGTTTATTAAAGTAAATAAATGTGGAGAGTTTATGTTACTGTGTTAAATTGCTAAGCCTTTTAAAAAATGAGCAATGAATTATAACAAAAAATTAGAAGACATGAATATCTTATGATGAAGTACTAGCTGGTTATTAACAAATGGGATACCACTTGAGGATAACCACTTCTATAGTATTGATCTCACCTTGGGAAAATATAATTTAATGCCCATTTGCTCATTCCGTAACTTTCTTGTATTGCAATGAAAAGCAAAGACAGTCAGCAATTGTCTACCACTTCGATTTACTCAATGAGAATATTTGTATAAGTGAAATTATTTTTTTGTAAAAGTATGTATTCCTAAAAGGGAATATTTCATAATATTAAAATAAAAGGGAATATTACGAAAGGGGAATATTTCAGTCTGAATGAAAACTATTTTAAAATGTATTACAAATGCATTTCCTTAAATTTCAGTTGCCAGTCCAACTACAACTACTGCAAGTACAGCTTTTGGGACGTCCAAGCCGCTATCATTCGGTGGCTTTACGTCACCTCCTAATCAAACTGTTGGCAGTCCTGGATTTGGACAACAGCAACAACAACAAAATGCTCCGCAAAATCTATCTTTTGGGCAGACAACAATCACACAACAACAGGCACCTCCGGCCTTCGGAACTCCATCAACTCAAGGTAACATTTCTCTCTATTTCAGTGAATATTAACAATAGTAAAAACTTATATGCAACCTTTTAAAATCATTGCAGTAATTTGACTGCAAGTGGCTGCATCACCCAATGCCGTGTTATGGGTTCCATACCCTAACCAAGGCTAAAATAGCTGTTCAAAGTGGGCTTTATACCATCGCTTGGTTTATTCCATTGGGGGAAATTGTTTTTTAAGATTAGGCATAGGATGTACAGTACAGTAATTTACATCTCTATATTCTACCCATTTTACATGGTGTGCAATGATATGTTAGCTAAAAGGTCATTAGTAACCATGCTTAAATGAATTAAAGTAATATTTAATAATTTAAATATTTATTAAAACTGTAATTTAAAAAAAAATTATAGTTTTGTATGCATAATTTAAATATTTATTTACTTAAAAAAAGTTTAATGAACTCCCAAACTAATGCACAATGCAGAGTTTACCAAGTTTACAAAGGTTATATTTACAAAGCACCTTTGCCTTATGTAAGAGTGTTTCGTTTTATTTATTTTAATATATGGTATAACTATGAGAAGATTTCCAACACCTTTTTGTTTATGTTTAATCAAACTGGTGGTGGTTTTTTACAGCACCTGCTTTCGGGTCACCATCGAATTCCAGCCTCTCATTAACAAAGCCAACCAACCAGCAAACAACTTCAGGTTTCAGTTTCACACCAACATCCGGATTCTCCATGCCCCAGCAACAAACTGCTGTGAGTATTCTTAAATATTTTCATTGACTACTTGCAGAGTAAACAGTGAATTATATATTTTATATTTTTGTTGCTCAAGACAATTCTAGGTCAACCGGAAGTACCCTATAGGTTTTGGGTCAAAATCTATGTACAAACTTTCCGAAAAGTAAAAAAAGTTAAAAATCAAGCTTTATTTTGGTACTTACAAGTTTTCCCGAAAATCTAAATTTGCCCATATAAAATATCGTGTTGACTCAGGATTTCGATATTTATACACCTAATAGGAACTATAGACCTCAGTATCTGGTATAAATTTCAACTTGCTTGGTCCACCCTTTCTTGAAAAAATCGGTGAGGGATCCTTTTATTACCTTTTAAGGTACGGAACCCTAAAAACATAGCCAAAATGGCTTACAACATGATTACATAAAATTAGTTTTGCTGTCTACTAATTAATGGCCTTAAACTTTTTCCAGACCACCACCGCCCAACCCGCCCAGTCGAGTTTCTCGTTAACACCAGTGACGACTTCTGCAAGCGGTTTCGGTCAGAGCACTCCTTCCTTCGGACAGATGTTTGGTAAACAATCCTTCAGCTTCGCGCCAACCACTTCGGCGACGGGGACGACAACCGCAACTACTACCAGTGCTGGTGGGTTGTATTTGTATTTTGTGTGGAAGGGTAGTAAGTCCCAATGATGATGACTCCGTGGCACAGTCGCCAAGGCTTCGGCGTCGGGGGTCTTAGGTTCGATTCCCACACGGGACAACTATTTGTGAACCACAGAGAGTTGAAAACGTGAAATTATGTGAATAATGTAAGTAAATCGTCCTTGCAACACAGGATAGTGTTATCCTAAAGTAAGGGCAATGTTTAAAACAAAAATGAAAAGAAAAATTTCTTCATTCGAAAACATTACCCTTTACTGTAGGACAACATTATTCTTGTGTTGTAAGGACTTTTTACATACATAAATTTCACGCGGACAAACACCCAGATCCGAAACAATTATCTCAGGATCACACAAATAATCGTCTCATGTCATAATCGAACCCAGGAGCCACTGGGTTTTAAATAAATTGATTTATCCAATATAATAATTAATTGATTTATTATATTTGATCTTTTCACATCAAAACGGGAAATACAAATATTTTCTTTTAAGATGGATACAAAATTAAAGTGAAAATCTGCTACAACTAAATTTACCATTGACCAACTTTCAGCACCAGCTTTCGGCTCAACGGCTGTACCGAGCTTCGGGCTCGGCCAACAGTCCGGCCTTAGTATCGGGCAGGTGCAAACGGCGGCGGCGGCCACCACGGCTGCCCCCTTCCAGTTCAGCCAGGCGCCGACCTCAGCCAGTTTCACCAGCCAGCCGGCAGCCAGCCAGCAGCCGACCAGCCAGCAGCCGGCGAGCCAAGCGCAGCCGAAGCTGAGCTTCGCGCCAGCGCAGGCGACGTCCGCGAGCCAGCCGACTACACTCATGTTCGGCGGCGGTGGACTGTCCAAACCGCCGGCCACGAGCGGCCTAAGCCTCACGAGCCAGGCCGGCCCGGCGCAGACCACCGCCCCGACCAGCGCCGCTTTCGGCGTTTCGACGACCACCAGCGGTGCTTTTGGCGTTCCGACGGCCACCAGCGGAGCGTTCGGCGTTTCGACGCCGGCCAGTGGAGCTTTCGGCGTTTCGACGACCACCAGCGGGGCTTTCGGCGTTTCGACGGCCACCAGCGGCGCTTTCGGCGCTTCGAAACCGGCCAGCGGAGCTTTCGGCATTCCAACGGCGACTACCGCCGCCACGAGCCAGCCGGCGACCACTGGACTGGGACTCGCCACAACTAGCGCGGCGCTGTCGTTCAGCAAGCCGGCCGCCACCAGCGCTGCAGCTACTTCAGGCACGGGTGAGTATTATTTTTTTTGAAGTTACTCTTCTTACTGCGCGTTCGGAATGAAATGGTGAGAGTGAATTTTTACGATGATCTACCGTGGCAACCAATAACAAATGTTTAACATTTAGCTATAATTCAAGGATTTTTAATTAATATCGACTTTTTATTTATTTTTTATATAATATAAAATCATTATTGATTGCATATGTAATTTTTTCAAAAAGAGTAAAAATTTGGATAAAATTTTTAATTATTTTGCTTCAGTTATGCTAAAGTAGTAAAACTTCTCACGTGCGTCCATAAGTACACACACACACACACACACACACTTTTTTTTATGTGAAAAATTTACAATCGAACAGTCGATTCACTTGATGTTAAGATATAACAGCCGCCCATCGATTTACGTGCCAAAATCATTATTCTGACATGTGCCAACTAAAGGGTTGTATGCCATGTATGGTTCTAATATAAGGTCAGTGAAACTTGGATGGCATTGGCCGTTTCTAATTATGTATTGTACATATGTTGGATTGTAAATTTGATATGTATTGGAAATGTAACATTTCACATTCAACTCAATGTGGTATTGAGGGATACATGAAGTATATCCATAAAGGTATTTTATCTAAACTGACTTTACATAACGATTACAAGTCATAGACATATCTTTTCACCTTGCTAACATAATATGCTTCTTGAAACAAATTTATTGTTAACACGACGAAAAGATATGTAATTTTACCAATTGATTCATGACTTTATTAATCTATATTAATATACTTTATTAACATATATATCTATGTAACCAATGATTTTTTTTATGTCTTAATATTTAAAATTATAATTTTTTTATATATTTTTTATATCTATGCTTAGTATATGGATAAAATTATTTTCTCAAATGAACATTTAAGACATTATTCATGTTAAGGAACATAAAAAATGACATGTGAATTTTTTGTATACTTGTAGACTTGTCAAAATTGACATGTAATAAGTTGAAATTATTTTCATAAAATTAATTGGGGATAAATTTAATATTGATAAAAATTGTATATATGTATGAAAATATACAGGACCTTCTTTCCAGTTCAAGCAGAAACGTAATTATTATTCCATCAACAGGCAATATCTTAGCTAATCCATTTAGACTCTAAACTTTTATTCTAAATTGATTATACTCTCACTGACTAAATATTAAAAAAAAATTGGCTAATATTCCGAATAGTACGTCTCGTTTTCCAAGCTAGAAAAAAATTTTAATCTATAGAGAAATGTTAATAACTAAATATTATATAAGTTAGAATCAATGAAAACCACTAGATTATGAGGAAAAAATTAACAAAGTTTTTACATTTCATACAACTGAAATCCGTCATTACTGTGCATCCATTATTCATTATAGACTATTATTTTAAGTTAAAAACTTACGTTTTCACTTTTTACGTTGTAAGAAGACACAAATACACAGATATATCACAAAAACACAAGTTTCTACTTCATGAACATGTATTATTAACAATTTCTAAAATTTTAAATTTGTGACTTAGCGTTCACTTAATGTCTCAAATATTAGGTTCAAAATGAGTCACAGATCCGACACAGAGCGATCCGACTCGGATAGGTTAGGTTAGAAGGTTAAGGCGGGAGCGAGGCTCCCTTCTTAGCCTTCGTTGTTAGGTTCTTTTTTTATGACCACCCAGAAAACTTTAGTGTAACAGTACTTTTAGTATTTTTAAACTCTTTTTTAATAATGCGAAGGTTAAAATTTGGAAAAGTGTGTGAATTCGTAAATTTATACATGTTGTCAAACACAAAATGGCGGATTTATTTAGTGAAAATAACAAGTTTTAAATATTTTTTTTTATTAAAAGTAAGTGTTTGCCTTGGTTTTCATGTATGTAATATTTAATTATTAACATTTCTCTATCGATTAAAATTTTTTTCTAGCTTGAAAAACGAGACATACTGTTCGGAATTTTTACCCTACGATTCTTAGTTTATTTAAACTTATCCACGCTCTTAAATTTTTATTCATATGGCAGTTAATTTCAGCAACATCGGCTCCCACGGGTATTTTGTCATTGGGAAAATCCACTGCTACTTCTACCATGCCATCGCTGACCACTACAACAACGTAAGTTTTATAACTAAAGTGTTAAATTCAACCTGTAATTATAGAATTCCAAAACAAAGATTGTGAAAAGTAAAGTATCAGCCTATACATGTCCCACTGCTGGGCAAAGGCCTCCTCTGTACAGAGGGTATCAGCGCATAGTCTACCACGCAGCCCCACTGCGGATTGGCGGACTTTACGTATCTTCGAAATATTTTTTTTGTTATTACTTCGAAAATATGCAGGTTTCCTCACGATGTTTTCCTTCACCGCTGAGCACGTGATAATTCAGTATCAATGAAATTGTTAATTTTAAATTAATCGTAACGATCGAACTCAGGTTGCTCGAGTATATTGAATTAAAAGCGAGCACCCTGACTCTGAGCTATCATGGCTCGATGTAATGATTTTTTTAAGAATGTAATGATTTTTAACTAAGCAGTGAAATGAAGCAACCAAGTTTACCAACTAATATACCAACACCAATGAAATTGTAATTGCAAGTTACAAGTGCTAACTCATCACATCCTCAGTAGTGAAAGAAAATATCGCGAGAAAGCCTGCATATTTTGGAAAATATGTGAAGTTTTCCCGACCACAGTAGAGTTACCTTGTGGACCCGTGCCCTTATACCCCCTATACAAAGGTCTTTGCCCAGCAGTGGGACACAAACTGTTACTTTACATTTTTATAGATTAACTATACAGAATGTCACATAGTCTTCTATTCTTTCTTTGTTGGCGGATAAATGTTCTCCAAGGTTAAATGAGTTACCACTGTGATGAAATTTATTGCATTCTATTGTCTTCACAAATGAAACCCTCCAGTAGCAAATTGACTGATCTATGACATTTCATATAGCTTTGACATTTTAACAGCACCACTGCATCCGCACCACCTCAGCCAATCAGCTCAATAACATTCGGGCAATTGGAAGAGAACATTAACAAATGGACACTTGAGTTGGAGGAGCAAGAGAAGATATTTATCAATCAGGCAACACAGATCAATGCTTGGGACAGACTGCTTATTTCTAATGGAGAGATGGTATGAACCACATTTATTCAAACTTCACATATTAAAATATTTGAACGTATTACACATATTACAATTTTTTTTTTGTGAAAAGTTTCCAAGCGAGCAAATGGTTCACCTGATGTTATGTGAATAACACTGCCCATAGACAACTGCTAAACCCGAGCATTGCAGATGCATTGACAACCTTTTGAAAATTGGGCTCCGGCCACCTCACTCACCAGACGAAACGCGAAAATGTTATACTAACACTTTACGCTGGTCTTCTGTGAGGTTGTGGTACTTACTTGGATGTTCGTTTCCTCACCATCTTTTCCTTCCCACATGCCATCGCCAAGATTTGATCCGGGTTACTTGAGTACATTGAATAACAAGCTAGCGTATGGACATGAACTATACCATAGGAACTAAACCAACCTTTCTAAGAAACATTAATATCTTCAACAGATTGTGGAGTTGAACGACACGATACAAACGGTCAAAAACGAGCAGCAGAGCTTAGAACACGAGCTGGACTTCGTGCTGGCACAGCAAAAGGAACTGGAGGAGATACTAACGCCGATAGAGAAGCAATTGCTCAACGAGACTGGCGATAGGCTACGGGATCCGGAGAGGGAACACATGTAAGTTTTTGGGTCAATAACGCCCGTTTTCAACACTGATCATCATAGAAGTTGACTAATCAGCTGTAAAATGGTTTTTCAAATGTTATTTGAGTTGCCAAAAGGTTTTTAAAACTCTCTGAATTGATCAGAATGATCTAATGATAAAGTATATAATATATATATAACTTTTTTATTGAGATTTTTTGTATATTAATTTTGTCATAGGTATTCTTTGGCTGAGAATTTGGATTCGCAGCTTAGACAAATGTCTGAAGACCTGAAAGAAGTTATTGAACATCTCAATGAGACAAACAGAAGTCAAGACACAAATGATCCAGTAAGTACTAAACACTTTTACAGTGGTAGGGCCACGCAGCAGCCTCGGCTGTTGCACGAATGGGCTGGCTCGTCCGGGTAAGTACCACGACCTCACAGAAGACCGGCGTAAAGTGGAAGTATAATATTTTCGTGTTTCGTCTGGTGAGTGAGGTAGCCGGAGCCCAATTTCCAAAAGGTTGTCAACGCATCTAGAACCCTCGGGTGTAGCAGATGTCCATGGGTGACGGTATTCACTTAAGATCAGGTGAACCGTCTGCTCGCTTGGCAATTTTTCACATAAAAAAAAACTCAGAGAGGCTAGTCGTTTTTGATAGCTCAATAACTTTTTAAAAATAGTATATATATTTTTAAGTTCATTGTAATTTCGGAGTGATCTGTGCAGTGTAGACTATATATATATACAGCGTGTCGTTACCATCGCGACAATAAATGAACAAACGTCTAACGCTACTTGCCAATAATCATAAAAAAATATTAACGTTAAACATAATCCATAATTAAAAAAAAATATTTTTCAAACAAACTAATTAAGTAAAAAAGAAACAAAAATTGTAACATCTTATACAACTCGCGTCACAGCGTCGTATTACAAGCCTCTCCTTCTAACAGTATGTTTTGTCTCTTTTAAATTCATTCAACCCATTCATGTTTGATGTTTAAAGAATGATTTGTTGATCCAATACCATATGTATGTGATTTAGTGGCTCCATTCGGATCAACAACTTTTCGTCAATATCTTTTTGAAAGTAGCTACAATTTATACAAATCCACTCCGTACTTATTTGATCCAATTTAAACGGACGAATCACAGATCACTGCAGCATTCATTGGTTGAAATCATCACTTTACGTCAGTACCTACTTATTAAGAAGAATTACTGTATCTCGTGAATGTGATATTTGTTGAAATACATGCCTTAAAGGGCCAGCAATATCTATCGCTCGCGCGCTTTTCAGATTCACGTGCAACACAACTATTATATTTTAATATAAATTCGTTGCGCGCGTGATAGATTACTTAAGAATTTACATATAATAATTAATAAAAAAAAATATTGGTATCAATCACTTAATTATTTAATTCATGTATAAAATGAATGTCTTCTACTTCAATATTTAAAAAATAATGTCGAAGAATAAATAAGATTTGGAGTGTTCTAGTCGTATCTTCAATAGTTTATAAGTAATTTTAATAGCAATGGAGAATACCTGATAGGTAACAATAAGTCCAAGTGTACAATAATTTTAAAAATTATATAAAAAAACAGAAAAATAATAAACAAAATTTTTCGTAATTCGTTTGTTTATAAACAAGCGTCTGTTCACAAAACCAAATAAAAAATGAATTAAATTATAATTTTTTTATGATGTAACAACGTGATAAATTATGATTTTTATAAAATGGTTCCATAATGTTAACACTAAGCAACAAAAAATTGTAATTTAGAAAAAGCGTTTTTAGCAGTGAAAAATTATTTTCTTAAATATTTTCATTAAGCATCATATTCCTAAAAAAAAATGAAAATGTTATAAACAATGTATTTATTTATAATAATTATTTTAACAATTCAAGTAATTTTTTTACAGGATCAGAATAACCAAAAAATTAAAAAAAAATCTTGATTGATTTATTAACGTTTTTCATATTTCAATGCCTTAGATTGGTAATAAAACAATGAAAAATTAGAATTTTTTTTGGCAATCTTTTCTAAATTCTTAAGAAGTGAAAAAAATATTCTGGGTTAGACTACATAGAAATAATCTTAATTTTTTTTTCGTCTTATTATTATTTATTCATGTGTCTAGAAAGAACTATATTTTTTATCCCTTAATAATCTATTTTATTTGGTTAAAATAATCTTTTAGAGTTCCATACCCAAAGGGTAAAATGGAACCCTTATTACTAAGACTCCGCTGTCTGTCTGTCAGTCTGTCCGTCTGTCACCAGGCTCCACGTTGTATCTCATGTCGTAATGGTGATAGTTAGAAGTTGAAATTTTCACAGATTATGTATTTCTCTTGTGCCATATAAAACCATAATTTTCGTGAAGTTAAACAGGTTTTCGTTAAAAAAGCACTTGTTGACTAGCTATAAACAAGATTACATTTAATAAAAATCACTTAACTTTTCGCTCAATTCTTTGAGTTTCCCTTTTGATGTAAAGATTTGTCCGATAAATCGCACATTATCTCTTAACTAATCTAACTTTAACCCACTGAATAGCACTAGCTTAAATAACACTATTGATTACATAATAAATAATAATAATTTATTCCCCTTTTGATGTAAAGATTTGTCCGATAAATCGCACATTATCTCTTAACTAATCTAACTTTAACCCACTGAATAGCACTAGCTTAAATAACACTATTGATTACATAATAAATAATAATAATTTATTCTCTTGTAACCAAACTCATATTTGATAATGAGTTGAGCAATGACTTGTAAACAAATTTAACAGTTAAAATAAAACTAAAATATTGTCATCCTTGTCTCTTTAAAGAAATTTTCTCACTACATCATTTGTCGCATTACATTGCGACCGTTGTTGATCCGTTTCCTAGTGCAATAGTAGCAATATATTGTACAACTAGCTTGCGCCCGCACATTATATCGTGCTTAAAAATACCTACGGAACCCTTCGTGCGCAACTCCAACTCGCACTTGGGTGATTTTTTTAACTTTATATAAACCATCATTTTACAGACCATAGTTAACTATAGTTTCATCGCACAAATCTACAATGTGGTTCTTTAAGTTGATATAACTATTTTATTTATTATCCGACATAAATAAAACTTACAATAAATGTTAAGAGAAGCTTACTACAGTGCATTTGTAAAAGTTGCACTGAAATCGGAAAGGCCGTTTTAGCCAAGTTACCGCACACAGACAAACAGATAAACAGACAATAATTTTAACTATCATTGTTTTGGGTTCTACTGCGTTGATAAAGGCCCCTAATAATAGTTTTTCTTAAATATCTTCCAAACATCAATCATGTACAAACAACAATCAGTAAAATTTTTATTACATGTATGATATTCTTTGAGGTCATAGTTCGCCGCCGCGCCAGTTGCTTAAATCAACTCGGGATAGTATTTGGATGCCTACTTAGGAGTACAGCATTTTGGGCTTCACCTCAATCGAATTAATACAGGCTGCATGTGCTAACAAGCATAACAACCAAACTATACACTTTATAGTAAGTAGGTATTTTGATTATGTCCCAAGGATTCATTAATATCAAGCGATAATATCTACAATATTAAAAATATTTATTCACTAGCATCCTATGGTAAAATAATTAATAAGAAATAGGGTATAACCATCATATTATATTCGACATATAGTAACAGTTTACTCAATAGAAAATGTACATGGAAATTCAGTTCTTATTACAAACACTGTGGAATTAGTTTTACGAACACTGACGTCGAGCTGCGTATGCGCGCTCACAGAGATCAAGAAATGTTTAAAAAGTGCCTGAGAAAAAACCGTTCCGCGGAGCCACAAATACTTTGGAAAAGTATAAAACAACGGTTAGAGTATATTGCTGAATTTAGAAATATGTCTAAGCGACACATTACGCTGTTCAAATATATGCTTACCGGCCTTTAAAATAAAGGTTAAGGGCAAGTAAATTTGGACAGAAAGGTGGATCAACAAAGTACTCTTTTAATTTTGCTGGATCAAACAAGTTAATCAATATATATATATATATATATATATATATATATATATATATATATATATATATATATATATATATATATATATAGTGTTAATTTATATTGTACTTTTGTGACAAAATCATATTAAAACTTTTTTCAGATCGTCCAAATCGGCCGTATTCTAAATGCGCACATGTCGTCTATGCAATGGATAGACAACTCTATAGCGCAGATATCCACGAAACTGGACCAATTGAAGGCGACTCACGACACTTTGAGGCGGGACAATGAAAGGTCCTTCCAGCTCACATACAATTGATCCGTTTCAAATATCATGATTTGTACCTGTCGTATGGGCTGAAATGATAAAGTCTGATCAATAGGGCAGTGTTAAGTTTAACAGTCAATTTGGACTAGTAATGATTCTATACAAAGTAAATTCTATACAATTCAAGAATTCTGATTGTCATTGTAAAGTATTAATACTATGAAAGTCAATGTTGAATCTTACTAGAATACCAACTTTCACTATAGTGAAATTGATAATTATTAAAGTCTGTTAAACAAATGATTAAATATTTGAAAGAAAATCTGTCTCTTTCAATTATTATTTTTACTAAATATTCAATCTCCACATCAATTGGATGATATTTCTTTGGCAAAAAAAAAAACTAAATTGTGCACAAACTTTAATAAACAATCCCAGTAATAAAGCACTGCAACTGAACATTTTCGTCCGTTTGTAAGCACAATATCACCAAACGTTTGTGTACTATGCAACAAATTATCCGATTGTGCGATATCTGATCCGCACTTAGGAACATTGACAGTTTCTTAGCATCAACTCTACAAGAACAGACTTGTGATAAGTCCTCGTTTATTTGACTCTCTGTCTCCGAATCCGAATGGTCTATGGGTCCTGTGAAACAATATATTAAAAGAATGTTTACAATAAAACTAAAAAATTACAGGTTACTCAATTTTTGAAGATTCAACTCAAATAAGTTCAGTGTAAAAAAAAATGTTAATTGCAATGCAAATTAACTGCTGACTCACATAGAATATTTATATAGTACCAAGGCTCACAAAGCATTGAGTCTCATGCTCGACTATACCTTCTTTTCAGAAGATTTGCCAGTTATGAGTAATATATACAATATTAATATAAATAATTATAGTAATTTACTCCATTTCGACATACCTTCAAATGTATCAACTCTGAGTCCTTTAAACCTGGTGGATACTTTAGCCATGTCAGTTTTTATCTGCAACGTAAGCCTTCCTTCAGCAGAGGCTCTTATTACTACATCAGATGCCATAGTCCGCATGCGATCTATAGTGTTTCGAAGTTGCTTCAAACTTGGCAACTCTATTGATATCTAAGATAAAAAGTAGAATTTCTAACAAAATACAACATTCATGTATACTAACAGTGGTAATTGAAATGAAAAGCAATAGGTCAACAATTCATGTGTAGGTTTTAGTCTCAGTTATAGTGACTCGATATATCTTGAAAATGCGAAAATTTTTTAGGTTGATTAGTTGATCAGCAGGGAATATTCACGTTCAAGCCAACACGATTAGTTGTACAAAACAGGTCATTCACATTTTATTCCCCTACACTGCTTTTCGCTCATGTTTGTCAATATATTTGTTATGACATTAAGTGTACAATAACAAAGTACACTAGATGTAAATAATAAAATAAAAAAGTTACGAAGGTATTGGCTTTCGCACCGGGGTCGTGGGTTCAATTCCCAAAAAGACAACTACTTATGTTACCCAAAGATAATTGTTTGGCATCTGGGTGTCTGTCCACATGAAATTCATATATGTAAAACATCCTTACAATACAGAATAATGTTATCCTACTAAGGGGGCAAAGTTTTGTACAGGAAGACTACCATAGATCTTATAAGTTTCAGCAATCATTGGGACTGCCCAACCCCTTCTACACAAAATTCAATACAGTTATAGTCCTAGAAGGCTAAATATGGGTTTTATTTTGTATGAAACACATTAATATATATTATAAAAAAAGAGAAAATATTGTTAACTAGCTAATTAATTAGTCAATCAGGGAATTAATAATATAAACATACATCAGGTTTTGGCACTTGAGGTTCATGATAATCTGACCAATTTTTCCTTGGCACTACTGTAACAGGTATGTCATGAGTAACTTGTCTTGTCTGCTGGGACATTGAAGAGGGCTGTAAAAAATTGTAATACTAATTGAGTTGACAAATTTAAATGATTAAGAGGGAATGTGTTTAATAAAAAAGACAATTTTTTTATTTAACACATGGATGTGTAATTGGGCCAAGCAACATACAATACAATTAATGGGTATGAATATAAATGCAAGTAGCCCATATGTTTTGAAAGCATTTTTGGGTATATAATGGTATTTAACAGGATATGTTTTAACATGGTGTGGTCCTTCACTGCTGGCCATATGAGGAAGCTCAAAGTAGCACAGGAAGCTGAGTATCAGGCTATGCTTTTTCTCTGCATGATAAGGTTTTACGTGAGAAAGTGGCAGCCTCGTAGTTGCCATCCCAGTATAGGACAACCACCCACTAGATGGAGTGACAACTTGTGCAAATGTGCGGGAATTAATGGATGCAGGTGGCTAAGCATCATACTTCATGGCAGTCTGGAGGCCTATGTTCAGCAGTGGACTCAAACAGGCTGAAATGATGACATATACAAAACGGGAAACATACACAGAGAACAAGTTAAAATATTTTTCATTAAATAGAACAAAAATTACCATTTCAATTTCTAAAGTTAGACATGGACATTGTTTCTTTGTCAATTTCATCTTCAAAGACTTTGCCGATTTCAGTGTCAATAACGGTCTGGCTAAATTAGCTTTAAACAAATAAACATATTAGGTATTATGGTTAAATATAAATAAATATAATTCTGATTGAATAAGTATCTTTAGTTTTAAGGTTTCTTTCAAATGTTTTATACAAAGTCAAGATGAGCACTAGTAGGCCCTTAGCAACTGAACTAATTATGAAAAGCATTATACTTTTTTTGTTAAAGTTAGATTAAAGTTTTACAACATATACCTGAGACCATATATCAATGCACAAAACATTTTCATTGGATATGTCAACACCTACAAAATCTTGTGAATAAAGGATTATTGCCCCTTATTCACAAGTTTCATTGTTATTTCTTTTTTCTTTTGCAATAACATTTGTCAAATGTTATCATTTTCTTGGATAGCGAGAAGGCAGTGTCCAAACATAACATATATATATTTTTTTGATCTTATCATAGATATATGCCGATGCAATGGTCTGATTAAAAGAATAAAATTGAATCTATAAAAATACAGCTATTGTACTCTAATATGCTAAGTGCCTGCCATGAATGTACCTGGGTGTTACATTCTCTATAATGTCTCAAGCAAGAGCTTAAAATGTTGTCTATTTCCATTTATTTTATACTGAAATAATAAACAATCACAAAATCAGACGGATTGCGATTGCATTTCAAAGCTGAAAGCTTTAATTAATAAATTATTCCAATTTTAACAAAGTTCCCTTCACATTGAAATTACCTGAAATAAATCCAAGATATATATCCTTATGCTCATCGTCAACGCCTATTAATTGATATTCTGAGAAAAACATTGCTTGTGGTATCTCGCACCATAGGATGGGAGGTGATGGGCCACTAGTATCATCACTCACTATAAAATAAATCTGTTCTTTAGATAATCTCAAAACACACTCTTTTGAGAACTTCGAAATTGTGGTCACAATATCTAAAAACGAAACAAGGGATGTAATATTGTTATATCATTTAACTAAGTACCATCATGAAAGGAAATAATTACTTGAAAATTCTCTCATTGGACCAGCATCAATCATAACAGCTCTGAACTTCATTATAGGAAAAATAAATACACAAACACATTACACTACAAATCTTTATCACTTAATTCGCGTTTCGCGGGCGTTGGAGAACAGATAATATATAAAAGTATTCAGATATATAAAAATACTCTTTATTGGAAAATGTCAAGTCAAATTGTAATAAACTAAAATGGACAGAGAATTATAGTACAGATTATGATAAAACAGAACATTTAAATTCAAAATATCTTTATTCAAATTGACGCTGGCGGGTTCTTATACGGTTTATATAGGTTCGAATATAAATCATTTTCAAATATTCGCAATTCACAATTTAATTATTCTAAATTTGATCTTTAAATGCTCGAATTATTCAAGAATCTATTCTATCTATATTGCATTGTAATCAAATCGAAGATCGATTTTTAGTTAATCGACATGTCCAAACGATTGTCTTATCAGTAAAGACAAAATCATCAGTTCATCGGTTTGATCAGTTTTGCTCGGAGTTTCTTTGCGCGACAAAATCCGGAATGAGGAAATTGGCCGAAGAACCGGAGTCACCGACATAGCTCTCCGGATCTGTTAGTTGAAGTGGCAGTGAGCAGGCCACATCGCTCGAAGAGCTGATGACCGAGGGGGAGTATAGGTACTCGAGTGGCGACCATGAACCGGAAGATGTAGCGTTGGAAGGCCTCCCTCTAGGTGGACCGACGACATCATAAGAGTCGCGGGCAACCGGTGAATGCAAATGGCAAAGTGTCGTTCGTTATGGCGTTCTAAGGGGGAGGGCCTATGTTCAACAGTGGACGTCTTGCGGCTGATGATGATGATCAGTTTATACAGGGTGATTTTTTAGACGAAGTACATACTTTAACATAATGTAATATAATTGCATTCCTTAATTTAAAAAAAATATTAATATTTTATTTTGACAATAAATAACCAGAAAAATTTCAATTCAAACATTGTTTGTTTATCCCGTTAAGAGTAGTCACCCTATTGATAATTGACACACCCTATTTAGTAATTATGCGTTATTATGCGTGAGACGGTGGGGCAGTAATTTCTAAGAGGGTGTCCATAATGTTTGAAAAAATTAAAAATAATCTTTGGAAAAAAAAGAGGTTACAAGTACGTATAGTTTCAGAGTTAGAAACAAATTCTGCATATGTTCTGTTAAACTTGTTAGACGATTGCCGTAGGCCATATCCCTTATGCATCTATGACCACTTGACAGCTTGCAGATGCATATATGCATGATACACTCCACTAAAGTGGGCCTCAGGTACCTCATTTAGCAATCAAAATGCGAAAGTGTAATACTTCTGTGCGGCCGTAATACTTCCCTAGATGAGCGTGCCCATTAGTGCAAAACCAGAAGCTGTTTCGTGGCGCTACCAAGTTCATTGCATGCTCTTATACTTAAAGGTTAAGTTTTTGAGGGAATTCAAATTCTCTTATCTTTAACATTTGATTGAATTAGTTTTTTCATATAAATATATGAATAAAAGATCAAATGGCTTAGTATGACGGGCAGGGATGGACAATACCAATGAATATTTTATAAAACTAGCTGATCCATTTTAACAATTAAAAAAGTATTTCTCTTATATGGGCAAAAACTCGTTAATTTTAATTATTTACCTTTTTTGTTTCTAATAAAACGAAACTTCTACTTTTCATAAAATATATTGTAATCATCGTTGTCATTATTTCTTTTTATTAATAAATTTTGTAGTTTGAGATAAAACACACTTTAAATAAGCTTTTATGAATCATTAAATTTTACTCGATAAGCACAAGCACGCCAACGCCACGCGTTGTCAATACGGTGTCAGCGCGAGAAATAAAATGTCATTATAACGCTTCCGACTTTGGCGATAAAAACGCTTGCCGTTCCCAAACTACAAATACTATCCCATAAAACGACACAGTTAATAAGCTGATCAAGCAATCTAATTATCTAAAAATCAAGGGTTATAATTTTAATTTGCAACTCTAGAAAATGTATTAAACTTGCAAAAACTGTGCTGAAAATTGATATCTCTTAATAAAATATTTATTTGACGAAAACCCTTTAATTTTACATCGCTTTTAATAATTTTATCATAAAGTAGATTAAATATACTTCCCAACAATACCAGAACCATTTTAAAACTTAATTACCATCATGAAGAAAACTTACAAGAAATGAGCTACAACTTGCTAAATAAAATGCGACCTTGTTAGAGTGAAGATGACAGCCATTTAAGGTCTCGTTACGAAGTTTGAAAATTAAACAGCATATTTTCAGAGTAATTATTAATGGCTACTTACAATATTTCACTTTTTTAAAGTTATTATTAGATATTTTGATCTTAAAATTAATAACAATAATAATTAAAATTTATGATATTTTTTCTGCAGCAGCTCTTTCTTGACGGAAGAAAACGCCGTAACCCTGCGCTGTGTGATTTGCCTTTCAGCACGGATTTGACTTAACCTAACTGAAAAAAAAAAATGGAACGTTTATAAGTTTTTACTGTGGTATGACCACGCAACAGTCTTCACAGTTGTACGAATTGGTCAGGTCCGTTTGAGAAGTACCGCGACCTCACAGAAGACCGACGTGAATTGGCTGTGGAAGTGTAATACTTTTGCGTTTCGCCTAGTGAGTGAGGCGGGGCCCCACTTTATTTTAAAGGCGTGCTGGCAACGCGTCTGTTAATCCCGAGGGTGTTGCAAATGTCTATGGGCGGTGGTGTTCACTCAACATCAGGTGAACCGCCAGCTCCTTTGCTACCTTCTGACATAAAAAATAAATAAATTAGAATAATGATAAAACAAGATAAATACTATTCAGAGGTCTTGGCACCACCACGTCCTCTTACTCGTCCTCACCACGCCCGCAAATTTCTTCAACGTTTCTTTCAAAGAAATAATGTGTACACACCACATTTTAATTTAATAAGTATTTAGATAGTTTAGTAATCCGTACAAACCCTTATTGTATTAGTAGCTATAGGTAACTATGGCGGATACCATGACAACCCGCGATGTTGTTATGGTATGCGCCGCTGTTGTCAAAGTCCATTGGCAACAGCAGGCGCTCAGTATTGATCACAATTGTTCAAGTAATAGATTCGTATTGAAAACACTTGAATTTATATAAAAATAGTATATTGATATACTAAAAATAGTATACTTATGAACTATTCTTTCATTTTCACACAGTTTTGGGTAAAAATAGACGCACATTTCTTTGTATTTGACATATCAACCGGCAGCCTCTGTTCCCATCGCAAACAATAACTTTGCGGAGGCGAAATATTACAGCTTTTGAATGCTAAAACTACTTTTCTATAAAAAATATTGTAACACTATTCTTCACGATCATTTATATGTATAATAGTATATAAATATCTACTTACGACATATTTTATAAGTCAACAATCACTTCACACGTAACGTAATTACAATTATAATATTAGGGCGTTCTGCTTAAAAGTTGTGGTCAGTTAAATTTATTTCGTTGAATAATTTCCTAGAGAACGTCTCTATGAAGTTATTTTTATAAACAGAATGCGCTAGTTGATGATATACGGAATTTGCTTACACTATGTGGCGTAGTTACCATGGTTCCCTAGTGGCGGTTTACATAATTTTAATTTCTTGGTACTATAGTACAAGATGGCTTTCTGGCTGATAAATAAGAATTTATTTTTATGAAACAGAACAGAACAAGACATAAATTAATTTTACAGTTGTTATTACAAAAAATTAATTTGCTATCTTTATTAAACTTAATTTTTATTTTTTACAATGACAACATTATACCATGAACAAGAATATTTTCACATCCTCTTAAAGATGGCGCTGGACTGTGCTAGCATTCTGATAAGTTTTATTTACAGTTCCAATTGTGTGTCTCACTCTTTCGTACTATGATCACCATAAACATGACTGAAATAGCAAAAATATACGTTTGATTGTAACGAATGTTAACGAATCGTGGTTATTTTCCTTACGATTTTATATATTTTACGCAAATGTTGTGCATTTTATAATAACATGTTATAAGTATAAGATAATAATACGTTAATAGTTCAATTACTGTTTTCAATTTCCATTTATATTTGTTTGAGGGGAATATATGGAGAAAAATGCACAGTCAAGGTATGTGCCCGATCAATACCGTCGTCATTATAACCAAAAATATGATGCTTGTTCCCTAATTCACCGTTAAAATAATCAACAGTTGTTAATGCCAATGCCTAAATATCTTTAATTTGATCTCGTATTTTTAGAAAAGACAAGATAATTAATTTCTATGTGCCAAATAGATTTCCGTGAAGTGGGTCACGGATCACCGTTAAGTATAACGATTTTACTTCGAATTTGATCTTTAAATGTTAACGGTTTGAGTTTTCAAATGTTATTATTTAATTTGACAGGTGAGGGTGTTTAACGAAACTTGTTACAAAAAGATTCTAAACTACAACAAAATATATTCATCGGTGGGGAATCTATTTCATTTGCTCCGACGTTCAATGTCGCCATTTACGTGATTATGCAATGATGCAATATGATATCTTAATAAAACTACAGATGTTTGCTCTTTTGGTTGTTTTCTTTCTATCGCTAGTTCATTTTAAAAGGAATAAAATAAAATCAACTTAAAAAATTGATGACGTAAATCTCGTGTGTTCGAGACTATTAGTGTTATTGTAACGTCATTAAGAGGTTAAGTTGCAATTAATGTCTACTCTAATGTCTACACGTAAGATATTTGTGTCGATCTTTGGGTTAAGCGTAGAACAAATGAACTCTTGTAAAAGTTGAAATGTTTCGATCCATAAATTTGGCATAAATCATTTCTCTAATAAGAATAGATTTGCATTATTAGATCATCGTTTACCTTCCCGTGAACAAAATGAATTGACTATGATTTCAATGAATAACATTATGATGTTTGTAACTGTTTAGTAATAAATATTTCATGTTGGTTTTGTATATGTAGCATTTTTAGAGACACTTTAAATTGGATAGGT